TAAGGCCTTAGTAAGACCACACCTATAATATTGCATCCAGTTTTGGTCACCACACTATAAAAAAGATGTTGAGACTTTAAAAACAGTGCAGAGGAGAGCAGGCAGGATGATTAGGGGACTGAAGGCTAAAACCTATGAAGAACAGTTACTGGGCATGGCTAATCTAGTGATGAGAAGGATCATGGGAGACATGATAACTTCCAATCACTTCCAATACTTGAGGGGCTGTCACAGCGAGGAGGGGATCAAACTATTTTCCAGAGCCCCTGAAGGCCAGAGAAGGAATAATGGATGAAAACTGAACAAGGAGAGATTCAACCTAGAAATAAGGAGGAACATTCTGACAGTGAGAACAATCAACCCATGGAATAGAAGTTGCCTTCAGAAGTTGTGGGAGCTTCATCACTTGAGACTTTCAAGACCCTGGATTTAATCCTGCCGTTCTCCAGGTATGGCCAGGCCTAAATATGTGGCATGTTAAAAAACTGCTGCTAGTCCGAGCAAGCAATGTAAAGCATGCTGGGCTCAGAACCATTATAAGTCCTGGTGGTTATGCAAGGAGAAAGCAGGTGATTCCAGATCCCATGAGACAAAATGACTTTTAGGGACTTCAAAGAAATGAAGTCCCTAAATGAACCAAATTCAGTACAGCAGTCAGGGAAGTCTGCCCTATATTTAGATTTAAGGTACAGCTGTTTTATATCAGCCTTTTATGGTATAGAAATGGTATGCCCACAGGGGTCAAACTCCAATTAAGTCCTTAAAGATGTGGCCTGGGGAGGAGGTGGGCAGAAGACTGGCGAACAAGTAGGGAGGGGTCAGGCAGAACCATGAGAATTCAGAAAAATTATTTTTCCCCATAAAGCCCCATCCTTACTGAAGTGAGTTTGGACTCAATATGCTAATTAGAATATTCCTAAGCAGATATTAATGATGTTGAATGGCAGAGTTAACAGATTGGGACTGAAACCCTCTACCGCAGTGGTTCCCAACGTGTGGACCAAGCCCCACGGGGGGGGGGGGGCAATTTGATTTTTAATGGGGACAAGTTGAAGCTTATTTAAACCAAGTTAATGGCCTTTTAGGCTTCCTCCGCGTGAGTAGACTTTTGGAGTAAAGTAAGAATTATATGTCACCGGTGGTGGGGAGGCATCAGGATTTTGAAGATGCTTAGGTGGGGCATGGCCAAAAAAAGGTTGGGAACCACTGCCCTACAGCAAGGAGGCTGAGCTATCTGGCTTGGCTGGGATGCACTGAGTAATGAAAAATCGACTTGGGCCGCATATAAAAATATATAAAGGAGTCAATGCATATAAATCACAAGTAGGACACACCGATTCCAGAGGGCAGCAAAAGTCCTCTAGTGGCTTTGTGCCCTCTCCTGGCTATCTAGATTTTTCCAGCCCTCATCTGGTGGCTGTAATGAACATTTCTAATTACCTGTATTTTTCAGACTATAAAACGCACCAGAGTTTAAGGCGCACCAAGATTTTGAAGAAGTAAATTTTAAAAAAAGGTTTTGCACTCTGCAGGCCTTCCAAACCCTCTGCATGCCTCATTTTTTGCAAAAAA